TCTACACTCTGAGAAAATTCCCCACGTGCAGGGCAGATAGGAGCTGATCTGCTTCTCTTTATTGCACAAGTTACTATGCTCAGGACACAGGACACAGACCTTCAAATGGACCAAGGGTTTACCCTGTGCTAGGCACAATGCTCAGTGCTTGGATGCATCAATCCATCCAATACTCCTAGCTCCACGAATATGGAGACGTTTGTTATTACCCTCACTTTCCAGATGAGGAAACTAAGGCTTAGGGATGTGAGATAACGAGCTGTGATCAGGGAGGGGCAAACTTAGCAGGGCACCCAGGAAGGCTGACCCTGAAGCTGCATTCTCACTGACTGTGCTGAGTATTGCCTGCCTTTCACTTACAATCTTACTCACTCATTCATCCAACACAAACGACTCGAATGCCAGCTACCTACCAGGGGCGGTAGCCACCAGGACACGCTCACAGGCACATGTCCTGCTTCAAGTTTGCATCAAACCAGAGACCAACGACTGGGACTGGAAGCCATCCTGAGGACAGAAGTAGTTTCCACTCCGATGCTTCTGAGTGGCTGCTACCCCTCCCAGACCCGTGAAATCTTGCCATTTTCTACCACCCTGCAGATCAGCAGGGACCAGTTCTTTCAAAGGCTCCCTGGTGCCAAGCACAAAGCCTGGAACACAGTATGAAATAAATGATGCTGTTTATTGAATGAATAAATGAATGCGTGAACAGGATTCAAGTTATGCATCGAGGTCTTAAGAGATTTTTCTAAAGAAACCTGATCTTTATTTTCCTGCTTACAGCGCATGCTGCTGGCAGACAACTCAGCTCCTCGTGGTTCCTAAGTCCAGTCTCTCACTGTCCTGGCAGCCCCTCCTGTCTGACTCCAGCTTCATTTCACTCCGTCTCGCTCCCTGCCACCCACTCCTGGCTCCGTGCCACGTTAGGTTACTCTCAGCACCTCCGCCAGGGCTCTCTCCTGCCTCGGGATCTTCTGTCCATTCCCAGCTTGCTCTTTGGCACCATCTTCCTTCCTCTCCCCACCCTCCTCTTGGCCAGCCTGATCGCATCATCCAGACGTCTTCCTGGGTTAGAAGAGCCACTGCGGTGTGTGTCTCAGCATTGGCCATGATAGCTCCCCCCACCAAGTGTTGCATCTTTTAATTTACATGTCTCTCTCCCCAGCTGAGACCATCAACCATGCCCAAGGGCAGAGACTACATCTGGCTTATATGTCAACATATGCCTAGTACCTAAAACAGTGCCAAGCACAGAGTAGGTACTCAATATATCTCTGTCAGCTATTGCTATATTTGTCTCTATCATTTATATATCTATCAGTCATCTATTTATATATCTCTGACCATCATCTATCATCTATATCTAGCATCTATTTAGCTATGTGTCTATCATTTAAATATTATCTATCTCTTATCTATTATCTTCCTCTGTCTATCATCTATCAATCATCTATTTATCTATTATCTGCCCATCTCTATCAATCAATCTCTATCTTTTTATTTATTATCATGTGTCTATCCATCTATCTCTGTCATCTATGTGTCTACTGTCTGTCTACCTATACCTCTATTTATCTATCATCTATCTATACTCTATCTACCTATTAGTCATCTATCTGTGTGTCTATCCACCATCTACCTTGAACTTGAACACACACTGAATGAGCAGAGGCTGAGTACATGGACTTCCCTATGCATCCAAGCCCTCCACACACTGGTTTCCAACAGATACTAACAGAATGGATGGATGGCTACAAAACTACTTTGGGATCATGCCTCAGTAAAAGGCCCTTCCATAACACTGCCCTTGCATCCTTCAAAGACATGGGGATCAACGGTTCTCTGAAATCTGAGTTATAAAACCAAGATAACCTGGCCATGAGTGCTGCACAACAGTTGACAAAAAACCCTGGATCTTGTTTCCAAACTGAAGATGGCGAGGTCACAGTCCACAGCCTCCCCCAGGCATGAAGGGGGCAGGCAGCTCAGGACAAAGCCCGGTATTGTCACATCCACCGTGACCTCCCTGCTCTTCTCAAGGGATCTCACTGTGGGAATCCACAACTATCCACTGCAAAATGATCAATTATCCAGATCTAAATACATGTTCAAGTTCAACATACTGCTCTCCAGCTTGCAACCCACCAAAGGTGTCCCATTGTACTTAAATGCAATCTGAGCATCTTTCCAAGGCAGGCAAGCCCCGTACCTCCTCCAAGACCCTTCTTCTGCTACTCTCCCTCTCCTCCTGGTGCTCTGCATATACAGTCTTCTCACTGCTTAGAATGTTCCAGATCTCCCCACGACTAGCTCTCTTACAGGTTTCAGATCTAAAGTTACTTCCTAAGAAAAGCTTTCTGAATGAATCGTCCTATGGAAGGCAGTCCCCATCCGTGTCCTGAATCCTCAGAAATCACATGATGAAGTTCTGTTTTCTCTATGACACTTGCTGAACTGTTTTTCTCATTTATTTGCTCCCTTACTTGGCAGCAACACTAAATTACAATTCCAGGACAAACAGGGGCCTGGTTTGCCAGGTTCACTACCACCCCTCCAGCACCTAGCATGCGGTAGGCACTCGGTGACACCCGTGGAAAGGATGGGTATCTTTTCTCCAAGCCAACAGCATGGGACTCCTGCGGACTGGAGAAATTGATCTGAGCTGTTCAGCAGTCTTGGCCACCTGCCATGAGCTGGGCACCATGTAAGCCCAGGGGATGGTGTGACACCAGGAAGAGTCTCAACAGCCTATAAAGTGGCCCTGCAGTTCCTCCCCTTCCTTTTTGCTCAATTTTATGGCTTTGCCATTAAAAATAATTAAGACTAGAAAGAATTCAAAATGCAAAATTAGGGTTCTCTGCATCAAGTGCCATTATTCCTGCCCGTGATCTTGGTGGGTCTCACACCTAGGGTATCAGACGTATAGTGGGATCCTTCACAAACCACTGGGCATGGAGTGGCCAACATTATTTGTCATGGCCAGAAGAGACTAGTTGCCCAACAGCAGGCTGAGAAACAGGGAGAGCCCAGATGCCAGGCATTCATCTCTTTAATGGGACATTAATGTCGTCAATTGAATGTTCAGGCCCTCAGCACAGAATCCAACTGGGGCAGCGTCTAATTGCCCCCTGGTGCCAGTAATTTATGGAGCAGGCTCCCTTGGCAGCTCACATCCAACAAATCTACTAGGGGCCTTAATTGAAAATGGTAGCTTAACCAGAAACTCCTGCTAGTACCTGTTTGATATGGGGACCCATACCCGGGGACAGGTCAGCCTGGCATGGCCACAGGGAGCTGGAGAAGGGCCAGGAAGGGCCCATCATACTCCTAGCCCCTGGAGACCCTCCGTATTCTGGAGTCAGATCTTTCATCCTGAATCTGGCAGACAGATTCATTGAGATGAATCACCTCCCTAGTTACATGTGAGGAAGGCAGAAACCAGGTGCTGAGCTTTGTGTGGGCCACTTTCTTGCCAAGCTTCCCTGACCGACCTTCCCCTTCTTTCAGCACTGCCACCGAAATGCATTCCCTCAGTCATTCAAAACTGTCATTTACCATCTACAAATGCTGTTTGCTCTTCTATGTATGGGGGATTCAACAGTGGGTAAGTGAGAGAGATACAGTTCTAGCTCTTTCTATTTTTTAGAGACAGAGTCTCATTTTGTTGCCCTCAGTAGAGTGTCGTAGTGTCATAGCTCACAGTAATCTCAAACTCTTGGGCTCAAGTGATCCTCTTGCTTAAGCCTCCCACGTAGCTGGGACTACAGCTGCTCCACCACAATGCCTGGCTATATTTAGAGATGGGTCTTTCTCTGGCTCAGGCTAGTCTCGAACTCATGAGCTCAGGCAATCCACCTGCCTTGGCCTCCCAGAGTGCTAGGACTACAGGTGTAAGACATCACACCTGGCCTTGTTCCAGCTCTTTTGTGGAAAATCAAGTAGTGAGCAGGTAACTTAATGAGATAATTTTAGGTAGTAAAGTCCAAGAGAAGGTAATAAAATAGGGAAGGGTCAGGTGTAGAATGTAGCTATTGAGATACACATGGGTGGCCAGGGGAGATGCTTCTCGGAAGGGGCACCATTTGGATTTAGATCAGAATGACAAAAAGTCAGCCAGCTATGTGATAACTTGCGGAAAGCATTCTAGGCAGGGAGATCAGCAAGAGCTGAGCTTGAGGCAGGAACAAGTGTGGCATGTTTGACAAAGACACGAGAAGTGTGAGCAGAGTCAAGAGTGGTGCTGGACAAGGCTGGAGAAGCAGATGGAGGTCAGATCATGTAGGGCCTTGGGGATCTGGAGCCAGGGCTGATGCTGTAAGGTGGTGCTAGGTAAATCCATCTCTCTAGTCAGAAAAATAACTAAAAGCTCATGAGCTCATGCTGTATGGAGGAGGGAGAAAGTGCCTTCTATGGACCCATGCATCAGTCCATCTGTCCATCCATTCGCCCATCTGTCCATCCCTCCATCCATCTATCCACCCATTTGTCCATCCACCCATTCTTCCATTTGACCACCCCTCTACCTTCCATCCATGTGCCCATCTGTCCATTCACCTATTTATCCATCCATCTACCTATTTACTTAACCACTTATATATTCAATGATTGATTAATCTGGTGATTATTTAATAATCCCTGTGTTAGAAACTGGGGTGATAAAAACACAACCATACACAGGATTTGTGGCCAAAGAGACCTGGGTTCAATTTTGAGCTCTTACGCTTTCTAGCTATGATAAAGAAAATTAATGAATTTTTATAAGCGTCAGTTCTCTCATCTGTAAAATGGAATTAATACCACTACTTCATTAGGGCACTCGTTTGTTACTGGTCTATTGCTACCGTAAGTTTAGGAAGGGTCACTGAATGGGGGATGAAAAATTGAGAGGAGCAGAAATTCTACTCTAAAAAACAGACCAAACTTCCAGGTTGGTTTGGTCCACTCAGTTGACAACTCCACTGTCTCTCTCTCCTCCTTCCCCTTTTAAGACGCTGGCGTGTGTCGGGGCTGGAGAACCTTCTCCAGACACTTGGTGCATCTTTAGGGCTCTCCAAGTCCTCTTCTCCTCCATCTCCAAATACAAGTGTCAGATTATGGAACAGGTGATTGCAAAAGGTGAAGCGGGACAACCTCTGGCCTCTTACCTCGGAAAACTGAAGCCTCCCGAAGTCGCTGGGTGGGCTTGCAATCTTGAAGACTTTTTTTGGCATCACCCATGTCTCCAGAGTCTCCAGCTTGCTCACAGCCAGATTGGTGGCGTGATGCTTGACGAGGAAGCCCTGGAAGCGGTCGGCAAGGAAGTAGAGGTGCACAGACGCTGGGTGGCCCATGGAGTAGTACCTGAAGACACAGAAGCCGTGGTCAGGGCTGGAGGCAACAGGATCATGACAGGGCTCTCCACCCACCATGCCAAGCCTGTTCCAAAAATAGTCCCCATTTTCTACCAAATTCCTATCATATTCCCATCTGAAAGCGGCTCCCTATGGGTCTATGATTCAATGACTATGAATAACTTTCTCTTTTTTTTTGCTGATAATAAATGGAAAACATGCTGACCATGGGAAAGTACAGCAAAGAAAATAAAATGACTCCTTTTCATGCCTCTTCCCATAAATAATGTCAACGCACAGATATTGATTGAGTCCTCTGGTGCCTGCTTCTAGGGAGTGACAATGGTGTGTGAACACTGTCATATTGATGGATCTCCCTTCGGCCTTATTTTCTATGCATATATTTGCATACTTATTACACAGTTGGGATCAAAATATGTGTACTGGTTACATTCTGCTGTTGCTTTTTCCTGAGCATTATCTCGTCTTGGAAAAGTCTCTAAGAATGTGATTCTCTGTGTGAGGATGTATTCCTTTGTAAAGAGTGTCCATTTTACAGAGCAAGTTCCCTATCACTAGATGATAATTCTAATCTTTTGCTACTCTAAATAACGTTGCACTAAACAACCTTGAGCAAAAATTAAACAGAATTCTTTTTCATTCCTCTCTCTCCTTCTCTCTCTGTTTGAATCTTCAAGGGGCACATTATGCCTGTTGCTTAGCTTTACTGGAAGTTCTGCTGCCTAAGTGATTCACACTCTAACAGTCTTTTGCCACCGTCAACATGAGTTATCACCTTTAAAAACAATTGCTAATCTGAGATAATATACATGCACGTATATTTGTAGCTTATTGTTTTGAAATGGTCCATAGAAGTTTGCTGGCCGATCGGGGCAGGGAAGGTAAGCAGAGATGCCCAGGCAGGGTCCAGGAGGAGACAGCCAAGGAACGCTCTGAAGGGGCCCAGGTCCATGTCCTTCCTACTTGTGAAATAACAAGCTGCTGCTTCTGAATGTGTCAACTGCACAGCACTAAGAGGGTGCTTGTGGGCCCCTAATAACAGCAGTCCACAAATCACTGTCCCTGCTCAGCTAAATGCAGCCTTCCTTCCGGTCTCCATGTGGAGTCCTAAGTCTTTATGTTCAATTATAATGGTTTGGGAAGCCCCCTTTCCGGTGTTTAGGCATCTTCTAAAATCACTGCCTTGTTACGGGGATGTCTCAGGGGGCGGGGGGCAAGGGATCCAGGAAAAAAGCTTGCACCATCTTCAGATTATTTGCTGGCATCATGGCACATACCATGACTATACGAGCAGGGAGCCCTGGAATGTGCTGGCACTTTCCCATTGCAGCCACGTCTAGGCAGGGCTGTTCCACAGAACTTTCTGTGCTGATGGAAGTGTTGTGATGTTCAATAAAGTAGTTGCCAGCCACGTGTGACTACTGAGTACCTGCACTGTGGCCACTGTTACTGAGAACTGGATTCTAAATTTCATCTCGTTGTAGAGAGCTTACATAGCCACTTGTGGCTTGTGGCTACTGTACTGGGCAGCAAAGACACTGTCTCAGTAAACCAGTGGTTGCCTGCATCAGTGCCTCCAATTCTTTAGGTCTCCTGGATCTAGACTCCCTTCCATGTGACTCTGCAGCTTTCCTTGTACGCATAAGAGGACATCTATTTCTCCACCTCTGGAATCTTCTTTGGCCATCAGAAAGTGGTGGAAGGAGTGTCATGCCAGTTCTGGGCCATGACTTCAAGGAGCCTTGAGGATTTACCATTTGTTCACTTGCTCTTCTGTGATCACCATGACAGCACACTCTGGGCTAGCTCACTGGAGGATGAGGCTTCGGAACAGAAGGCTGATCTAGGACCAGTTGTCCTAGATCAGCCAATTATTTCCAGCCAAGAGCAACACAGCCACCCTCCTGGCCTACAGCTGGCTGCTAATGCCAGAGGGAGGCCAGCTCGGACCAGAAGAACTGCCCAGTTGACCTGTGACTTGAGCACTATGTAAGTGCTTACTGTTTCCAAACATGGATTTGGGGATTGTTTGTTACACAGCATGACTGTGGTGACACAGAAGCAATGCACTGCCAATGTGTGCTCTGGAAAGTGGGTGGGACAGGAGAGCTTGTTGTCACGGGAGTCAAAAGAAGAAAGTGTTTCCAAAAAGGAGTGGTCAACTGTATTGAGTGCTGAGAGGACTAAGAAAATGAATAATAATCAGGTACTCTAGAAATTTAGGAGTTAATCTCTAATAGTCGGCCATCCCTCACCTCTCATCAAGAAATCCTGTTGTCTCCACCTTACTCCATCCTCTATTCTCCTCATGCACTGCCAGAATCCTGGTTCAAGCCACCAGTGCTCCCCACCTAGACCTTTGCAGGTGCTTCCATAATTGTTCCCCCCTATTACTTTGTCTGCTGCAACCTATTCCCACAGTCGCTACAGCCACCATCCCCTGCTTAAATACCATAAGTTGGTCTGCTTAATGTTTAGAAGAAAATACAAATTCCTTACTTGCTATACAAAGCCCTGCCTTCTCTAGCCTCATTTTGTTTTCTTCTGTTCAAATCCACCACTTTCTAGCCACAAGTGGCCTTACTTTGGACTCTTGAACACCCTAAGCTCATTTCTGCCCCAGGGCGTTTGCACATGACATCTTCTCTGCTGAGAAAGCTCTTCTCCTCTTAAGACTGCATGTCTGGCTCTGTCTGACCATTTTGCTGAAGTGTTACTACCTCAGAGAGATATTCCTTGACTGCTAAATCTTAAGCCACTATCTTTTTTTTTTTTTTTTTTTTTTTTGAGACAGAGCCTCAAGCTGTCCCCCTGGGTAGAGTGCCATGGCATTACAGCTCACAGCAACCTCCAAGTCCTGGGCTCAAGCGAGTCTCCTGCCTCCGCCTCCCAAGTAGCTGGGACTACAGGCGCCCGCCACAACGCCCGGCTATTTTTTGGTTGCAGCCGTCATTGTTGTTTGGCGGGTCCGGGCTGGGGATTCGAACCCACCACCTTAGGTGTACGTGGCTGGCGCCTTAGCCTGTTGAGCTATAGGCGCCGAGCCTAAGCCACTATCTCTTCACTGTCACAAGCCACTATCTCATCACTGTCACATGACTGCATCTTCTTTTGAGGCAGAACATTTACCCTTATTAATCTTTTGTTCTGGTTTGTTTGTGCTGTCTGTCTTTACACTAGAATGGCAGGGCCTTGAACTTGAAGCCTGGTCTGCCTGGGTTATAGCTGAATGCCTTGTGCCTAACACAGAGCCTAATACATATACTGCAAACAATGAATGAATGAATGAATGAATGAATGAAAATTTTAGAAGAATCTTCTCTAGAAAATTTGGGGGCCTGTAGTAAAATACTGACATTCTTAACCCTGGATGATAGATGATAAGCAAACATTATTTTCTTGTTTTTGTTAATCTGTCATTTCAAAAATTTCTGCAACACACCTGTCTTATTTTCTAATATGAAAAAGAAATCAATAAACGTTATATTTAAGGAAGGTTATCCTGTAGACCAGAAAGGCACAATTTGCCTAAAATACTCAGACAAAATGAAACTCAAAAGTTTTCACTTGCTGTTTCCCCAGATGCTCCAGGGGTAGGAGTTCATTCTCTTTTGCCTTTTGGGATAAGAGTCCTTGGTCCTGATTTATTTGCAGGCTTCTACTCATAAATACGTCAGCTTTGCCCACAGCAAGGCACAATGGTTCCATTACAATAAAAAATGAGGCGGAAGCCAGAGGATTCTAGGCTCGAGGCAACTAGATGGCTCGGTTCACTCCGAAATAAGCACTAGGAGAACATTTCAACAACCCTAAATAAATTGGAGGTGTCTCTTGGAATTTCCTGTACGATAATTTACCTTATGCAATTCTAGGAACCTTGTGATTAAAATTATTCTCGAATGACATCTGCTTTCCAAACATCAGGCACTGCACTGCATGGGGTGGTTTTGAGGAGTGGATTCTGCCCCCAGACTAGCAGAGTTTGGGAAAGATACTCACCAGTGACCTTGATCCCAGGTACCACAGCTACGTACCTGGGTGTGCTGTACTACATGCAGCTTGGGGCACGGTGCTTGTGGGGCTATCAGGGAAACTTTTGCAAATTATCACAAAGGAGGTGGCCCTTAGATGGCCTTTAATGACTGGGAACAGGCCAGCTATGTGGTGACAGTGGGGGGCTGGGAGGTGGGGAATGAAGCAAAGGACAGCGAGAACAACAAGTGGCTCATGTCACCAGTTCCCATCTCGCACAGCAGGCCCACTGCTGGCTGCTTTTGACAGCTTAATATGTAGTAACAATGGCAGCTGAGATACAGACAATGACCTGATCCCGGACCGAGCACTCAGTACAGAAAACATTGCTAAAGCGGGGACAATACTGCTCCATAACTCATAAGGTACTTTCCGAGGATTACCTCCTCTGCACAGGACACCTCATGATGTAAAGATTATTCTTCTCATTTTACACATGAGCCACCTGAGGCTCAGAGAGGGTAACAACTTGCCTAATGGCCAACAGCTAGGAATTCAAGTTGAGGTTTTATTTTTAGATAGGGTCTCACTCTGTTGCCCAGGCTAGAGTACCCTGGTGTCCTAGCTCACAGCAACCTCAAATTCCTGGGCTCAAGCGATCCTCTTGCCTCAGTCTCCCGAATAGCTGGGACTACAGGCAGCCATCACGATCCTGGCTAGTTTTTCTATTTTTAGTAGAGATGGGGTCTCGCAGGAGCTCAGGTTGGTCTCAAACTCCTGAGCTCAAGGGATGCTCCCGCCTCAGCCTCCTAGAGTGCTGGGATTACAGTGAACCACTGTGCCTGGCCCGGACTAGAGTTGAGTTTGAATTACAGCGAACCACTGTGCTGCCCAGCCCAAACTAGAGTTAAGTTTGAACTGCAAGTCCTGTGTTCATCACTCATGTTAGTCTCCCTTTAAACTAAATCAGAACCTGCAAGGGGAGAGAAGCTGGGGGCAGGAGAAGGTCATGAAACATTGTCCCAGCCCTGTAGAAAAACCCAGCTGGCTACGCAGAAGGCACCGGCCAGGAGACCTGCCTGTTCTCAGGGTTTTAGGGAAAACACAGTTCCTTTCTTCTCCTCCTTCCCTTCCTGCAGAAAGGGAAGATGTGGGCGAAGAGAGATATACAAGGGAAGGCACACTGAAGAGAGACTGATGCTCAAAACATTTTTAAAAAGTGGGCACACTGTTCAAAGAGGAAGGTGGGAGGAAGGGGAAGGAAGAACAGCAAGACGTAGAGTGATGACGCACACTTCTGGGACTCTATCCTAAGGAAATCATCAGAAAAGAGAATGGGGGAGAAGGCCTTCTGCAAAGAGATATTCATGAGAACATTATTTACAATGGCACATTACTGACAATAGCCACAGCAGAGGGGCAGACGAAGCCAGCTCTGGAATTTCTACTCGTAGGAATACTGGCGGCATCAAAAAGGATCATTATCATCGCGGAAGCTGCCGAGCAACACAGGGAAGCGGGGCTAATAGTATAATGCCAAGTGGAGAAAACAGGATCCCTGATTCTTCGTGCAACTGTGTAAACATCTGCAATGCACGTGGCTGGAGGACAGAAGGAAATAGAAAGGGAGGAGCGGGGATCACGCCGAGTTCTCTCCCTGCCTCCCCCTCTCTTCTTATTTCTGGAACACTCTTGCCTAAAGTGTGGGCAGGCAGTGGTAGGCGAGATGACGCTCAGGGGTAGTCGAGCACTTTGAACAATAGCTTTGCCTTTTAACAATGTTTGGGCTTATATTTTTAGGTGTGGGAATGACACTGTGGTTATGTTTTAATGAGGAATTACTTCTCAGAAGAAACGTGTTAAAATATTTGTGACTGACATGACATGATGTCTGAGATGCACTTCAGGCTGATCTGGGGGGGGGAGGGTAGCAAGTGGGAGGAGGTGAAGATGAAACGAGATCAGCCTGGAGTTGGTAACTGCTCGGGCTGAGTGATGGAGCCAGGGGGTTACCCTGTTCTATTCCGTCTACATTTGACATTTTCCATCATGAAAGGTAAAAGAACAAAAGCAGTTCTGTACTTTCATGGTTGCCTTCCACTTAACACTATATAATACGGTGCCAGAACCGTCCTTCCAAAGTACACATGTGTAGCAAAAAGACTTAATCAACTGAAAGAAAACCATGGATACCTATGAGGCCTGGCATTCTGAGAAAGAACAAAGTAAAGCACAGAGCATGGCTACGGCTTGGGCCGGAAACGCCAGGCACGCTACGATGGTTGCACCGATGACTTTTAGGGAGAGGAAGAGGGGGAGAAGCATGGGGTGGAGCTGCAGCTCCCCAAGAGGAGGAATGCCTGGAGTCCCAGCTTCTTGGGAGGCGGAGGTGGGAAGATCACTTGAGCCTAGAAGTTTAGGTCCAGCCTGGACAACATAGTGAGACCCTGCCCCTTACATTTTTTTTCTTTGAGACTCAGTCTCATTCAGTCACCCTGGTGTCATAGCAACCTCAAACTCGGGCTCAAGCAATTCTCTTGTCTCAGCCTTCTGAGTAGCTGAGACCAAGGTGCCTGCCACAGTGCCCAGCTACTTTTTAGAGATGGGGTCTTGCCCTTGCTCAAGTAATTCACCCACCTCAGCCTCCCAGAGTGCTAGGATTACAGTTGTGAGCCATCTTGCCCAGCCCCCCACTATTTTTTTTTATGGAAGCAGGTCCTCCCTCCTACTCTATGCCCTCCACATCCTGCCTGCTCCGGGTTCCCATCCTCCGCACCCCGTGGGCTCACCGGCAGCTGTTCTCCCCATCCGTGTGCAGCGATGCCTCTGCCCGGCGAAGGCCCAGGCGGGCAAAGGAGTGATACAAGGTGAGCGTCACGTCACTCAGGCTGTGGGTGCCATCAGGCTCATCATAGACGTTCTCCCAGTAGGAGCGGAGGCCTGGGGTGCCTGCGGGGTAGTTCCCGTACAGGTAATAGTCCAGCTGCCCAATGATTTCCTGATTCACCACGGCTTCGAACTTGCGGGCAAAGAAGGTGGGCCGGGCTGTCTGCTGTGCTCATGGAAGATTTAAAAAAAAAAAAGCTGCATCAGCAAGTGGGGGCAGGACCCTAACAGCACATCCTGTGGTTAGGAGCAAGGCTCTGCAGCCCGCCTGCTTGGATCCAAATTTTAGAGCTGATACTTACTAACCTCTGTGTTCTCAGTTTCCTCATCTGTAGGATGGATTATAATGAGGGTACAAATAGGCTTGAGTGAGTTAATCTCTGCAAAGCATTTCAAGCAATGATAGGCACTTAGTAAGCATCATTTAGATGTCTGTTATGTAAATTAAATCCTAGATGTTTATAGCTGGGATGGATCTCAGAAATCGCTTAGCTGGAGGTCACAGACTAGTAATCTAGGGCAAAGACAGCCCGCAGATGCATTTTAGTTGGCCAGCCAGAGTTTTAAAATGGAACTAGTTGGAAGTTGGAAATACTTTAAAGAGTTCACAGAAACTCTTCTGGCTTCCCTTTAAATAGTAACAGATCTGGCAACCTCAGGCCCACATCCCTACATAGTAACAACTAGTCAAAGCTGAACAGCGGCTGTCCCTCTAGACAAGACATGGGCTCTTCTGCTCACCACAGTCCTCTCCACTCCCAACTGCCTCCCTGGCATTTCAGCTGACTTGCATTATCTCTCGGAGTGAGCCTAGAAATTCATATTTTTAACAGCCCTTAAAATATTTGCTCACTAAGGTAATTCACTTGCTTTCTATGGTTTGAGGATAATGTAAGTGACACCAGAGTTGCCTGTGTATCAGCAACCTGGATAGCTTTTAAAATCTGGATTCAGAGGTCCTTCCTGAGACCTACTGAGTCAACATCTCTGGAGGTGAGGCTCAGGAGTATGCATTCCAAAATACACCTTCTCAGGTGATTATAACACAGCATTTGTAGACCATTGATATAAACCAAACACTTACAAAAACAAGCCCAGAGAAGGGAAGGGACTTATCCAAGGACACACAGCAAGTCAGTGGCAGAGCTGGGAGGAAGAGTCAGGGTTGAGGGTTAAACAAATAAAATACTGAGCATCTGTTATCTACTAGGTTTTATACAGTGTTGTAGGGAAGAGACTGACAAACATTTGCAATAAAGAGCCAGAGGAAAAAATACTAAAAACAACTTTGAAACTGAACTCTGCTTTTGTAGCATGAAAGCAGCCAAAGACAGAATAGCAAATAAGTGGACATGGCCATGCTCCAATATTTGCAAAAGCAGGCAGTGGGCTGACTTTGGCCCCAGGAGCTGTAGTTTGCTGACCCCTGGTCCAGGGCTGCAGAAACAAATAAAACACAGCCCTCTCCCTTGAGGAGCTTATTATGGTCTAGCACTATTATTGACCTAAATTTGGGTCCAGAGCTGTTTTCACTGCAGTGGATTAATGGCAACAATTAACTACTGAGCACATACAATATGCAGGGAATTGCATTTATGTCATTACTTCTAATTCTTCCAACAACTCAGCAAGGTGGATATTATTATTCCCATTGTACAGATGAGGAAAGTGAGCTCAGAGAGGAAGGTTATATGTACAGACCCATGCAGTTTAAGATTTGAACGCAGAATGGATGACTCCAAAATGCAAGCTCCTTTTACTCCAGGATTGAGCTGATGAAGTAAACTAAACATCTCATCAGCTCTCTGCTTCATGAAAGCGGGGGCCTCTTTCTCCATGGTACAGAAGTCAGCGTGGTTCCTTTACAGTCTCACTGAGAAGAGTCAGACCTCCTGAGTTCAAATCTCACTCACTTAGCTGCTTCCTAGCTGTGTGTATCTTTGGGAAAGCCATCCAACTTCTCTGGGTCTCTGCTTCCTCATCCATAAAATGGGTATAACATGCGTTATTTGCATAGTGTCTGGCACACACTGTTAGCGGTCTTATTATGTAATTATTATCATAATTAGATATGATAATTTAGATATTACCAGACCCTTTTTTTTACTAGGTGTCTGTCCACCTAGGGGCCTACGAGTCTTCATTTCTGGGGACACAGAATCGGCCTCAGTGGCAGGGCAGCCTTCTTTCTCTGCCTGAGATTCTCTGACCATAGCCAGCTCTTTTAAAAGGGCATGTTTCTATATTTACTGTTCTTTTTCTGAGAGTTCTTTGCACAAGAACTCCAAGTTCCTTCAAGGCAGCAATTTCTGGATTCTGGATGTCGGGGGATAATCTTGATCATTGTTTACTGTGAAAGAACGAGCTGAGAGCACGTGACGTGGTCCATCGCCCAGTCTTTACCAGAGACCACAGTGTCCCCAGGATCTACCAGGCTAGAATACAAATGGGGCCGCCTGGGGAGAGCAGGCCCCCCAGTTATCAGCAGGTGGAGGATCTAGGCCCCAAGGGATGGAAGGTCCCCTGCAACTGGGGCAACAACTTATCCTCTACCAAGGTGGGGATCAGTTTTTTTTTTTTTTCTTTCAAATAGGTCAAACATCCCCCCTGCAGCCCTCTCTCCATCTGCTCACCAACTCTTTTCGGCTCGGACAATGGGGAGGTAAAATGTCATTCAAGTTCATGCTGGAATTAACATGGGTTTGAGGAGATCCCTGTAATCTGCCACCAAAACGGGCCTTATCACAGCACCCACTTAAGGTGGCTGAAGACACTGAGAGGGAACTTTGGGAAAATATGGATGACAGGAGAAAACCCGCTGTGTGTGCTGCACCTGGCAGGGATGGAAGCTGGATGGCAGTGAGGCCTGGTGGGAAAAACCCAGTCTGGAACTGGAAACGCTACACTTCCCTAGCTGCATGGCCATGGGCAAGTAGGTTCACCCCCCCCCATGCCTTAGTTTCCCCACCTGCAGAACGGAGGTGATGCTCACCCCCATGAAGCCAGTGCCCACACGGGCCGGGCGCGCAGGTGGCATGGAGCAGATCTAACATGAACTCCATCCCAGAGTCTGGGGGCCCTGGGTGTGGATTTGACTCTGACTCAGAAGTTCTAGAATGGGCGGAGATTCTGCTTTTCTAACAAGCGCTCTGGTGACAGAGATGTCGCTGGTCTGTAGACCACACCTGGAGAGGCCAGGCTAAGAGGCTGGAAGCTCCACTTGGGCGGCAGTGTCCTCCCCTGGATGTTTCAGCTATATGCAAAGAGTGAGGGCGCTGGGGTTATCAGCCTGGCACTGCTGTACTGGTTGTCCCTGTCCTGCCTCCAAGTCATCGGCTTGGGAAGTAGCACATCATCTCCAAGTGCCACTCTAGTGACCCGAGGGTGCTTTGTTTAACCTTCCTGTAGTGTTCTGTTTGAGCTTTCTGCAGCTGGGGTCTGGGCATGTGAGGAGGAGAGGGGAAAGGCACATAGGACGGAAAGGGAGGGGCCCTGCGGGCTGAGGCATCCTTGGGGCACATGGCAAGCAGATGAGCACCCCCCACCCTCCTACCTCTGCTCTCCCCAGAACTGTAAACTGGCTGTCCAGAGGCAGCTGTGAAGGTAATGATATCTCTGCCTCTTGTTACTCTTCAAGTACATAGAACACAGAGGTTTCCCAGCTGAGCTGTTTATGAGAATTTCCCAAAGTATAACACTGAAAATACAAATTCCTGGACCTCCCTGGAGATGTGTGCTTCTCAAACAGGGGCAAGTTTGCCTCTAGGGGACAATTGGCAATGTCTGAAGACATTTTTAATGGTCACAACCGGAGGTTGCTAAAGTTGTCCAGTGGGCAGAGGCCCAGGGTGTTGTTGGGCATTGTGCAATGCACAGGACACACCCAGGACAGAGAATGACCCAGCCACAACGTCAGGAGCTCCGAGGATGAAAACCTCTGCCCAAGATATACTCAGGTTTGTATCCAGAAATATGTTTTTTAACCAGAGGATTCTGATTGAGAGGAAGTACAGAGAATAGGTTATGAGCCTTGGGAAACAGACACTTTAAATGTTTTGACCTTGCTATGCCTCAGTTTCCCTATCCCTTAAATGGAATAATAATAATAAATATATTACATGGTTGTTGTGGGGCTAAGGAGTCAACACAGATGAAGTGGTTAGGAGAGCCCTGGCATGGAGTACCAGCTCGGTAAATATCGGTTCTGGTTGACGCTGTTGTTATCATCAGCAGCAGGTGGGGCTGGGCACTGAGGCTCAGATGTCTGCAGGGCTGAGGTCTGGGGGGCGGGTGGGGCGCAGTGTGCTCACCTGGAAGCGGTGGAAGTCCTGCGGCTTGAAGTCGTTGGGGGAGCAGCCGCACCAGTCCACGATGTGCTTGTACTGACACTTGCAGCCCAGCTTGCGGTTCCAGTTGGTGATGCGCAGGTTGTTGTCCACCATGGTGTCACAGTGGGGGCTGTTCTCCAGGACCGTGTGGAAGAAGGACTATAGGGGAGAGAGGGGCCTGGCCTGAGACCTCCGCTAGCCTGCCCCGAATGGGTGGGGGTGAGGGGTCAGTCCTGAGGACCACCTGACTGTGAAGGGATGCCCTCAGAGACACATTCTGTCCTCTCTGTGCACAAATGGGGGCAGCTGCCAGGCAAATTCTGCCTCACGGTACAGCTGGCTGCTTTGTCCAGACTGGCTTAATTCTACCCAGAAGCCTCCTGCTTTGAGTGGTTCCCTAAGTTGTCATTCCCCAGCCTCTAGAATCTGATCTGATATCTTTTACCCCCCAGGTCATCTTCTGTCTGCTCAGTACAGAGGAAAAGTCCCTCAGAGTTTGTCAATACACGGGGCAAAGGAAAAACATGGGGACTAATTTTCTAGAATATTGGGGGTCAAAAGGGTTTGCAAATGGCCAGTTCTGAAACCAAAGGGATTCAGGTCTGAGATGCTAACAAAGGCTGATGCTTTGGTATGTCCCCCCTGGGTGTGGGAGGCCAGATTCAGGGCTGCATGAGGCCCAGGACACCTTGCTGTAGCCACCTGCACAGTGACTGCCACACAGGGAGGGGAGCAGTGGGGCTCCTCACTGTCCATGCTTTTGAACCAAGAGCCGTCGTTTCTCCCTAATCCTAGGACTGACTCTGGGCCACCTCTCTCCAAGGAATCTGAGAAAGAGGCAATGTTGGGAGTGACAAGATGACGAGAGGAGAAACGATTGTTGATGCAGTGGAGAGATTACCAGAGATAGAAAAAAGGTAGGTATTTCTATTTCAACATTGTCTTATAACAATTCCAGACACCAGGGGAATGTATTTCCCTGCTCTCTGCTCCCTAAGAGAAGCCGTCAGGGGACATGTGCCCGCATTCAAAGGTTTACAGGCAGGAATGGAGGAGGTGGGATCTAACAGAGATCCTGGAGCATATGTGCTTCCGTATTGGGACAGGAGAGGGCTGGGGTCACTCACAGAGCTTTGGCCATCAGCAGTGTGGTGGGCACCTTGATTAAAACCACCAGACTATCCAATAATCTCTTCTAAATGAGTGGGTGGACAAGATGAGGCTCCACCCACTACTCTCTGCTAAGCTTCTTGGGCTGCTAGATGCCATTCCCATGAACCTGAATTCTAAGCTTGAATTGTCCACAAGCCCCCAGAAGCACATATACCCCATCAAGCAGGGGGGGAAAGCACCCAATTACCAAGTGCCCTGTGTCCTTTTATAATGATACAGAAATTCTCTGCAAGATAATGGATGAGGAGGTTATCGGAATTGAGAGAAAAGGTGATTTTTGCAGGAATAGGATTAAAAGCTGATTACTTGACATGTGTGCAGAATAGTAAAACCGGCCCAGTGATGACACGCTCGTCATCTCTCTGGCTGATGTGGGCCATCAGCCCTCCCTCGAGCCTGGCACTGCCCCAGAGATGGGTGAGATATGAGGAAATCATCAAATGAGATGTGCTGTCTCATCTCGCCTGCAGAAACACACAGCCCGTGCGATCCAGAGTCAGGGGCCCCTCCAGGGAAGGAACTGTAGTGTACCATTCATGAGAAATATCACAGGCTCAACAGAAAAGGGTCAGGCTCTGGAGTTTTCTGAAGTCGGATCAGTAATTAGGGTGCAAGTGAACAGAAGGTCAGGGAGGTGAGTCTAGAATCTTCCAGCTCAGCTCTGAAACGAAGGCTGCTGGCATGTCAGCAGCGATTCTTCCAAACTGGTTCTCTACCCATTTCCAGATGGCAGTGGGTCTGTTTTTAGAATACTTCACATCCTCACACAACAGGGCTTTCCACTCCAAGGTCTGAAAAATGATGACAGTCTCCCCGGGAGCTTTTAAAATATAGGGACCACGTAAGGACTGTAAAAACTGGTCAACCGAAGGAACTAGGCCTACTGTTCACTGAGTACACGTGGTGCAAGTCTGGTCTATGAAAATCAGGTCAACTTACGGAGGTGGTCAGCTACGTACTGACCAAAAGCCCACAGGGAACACTGAGCCCTGAGTACTGGCCCACAGTGGCTGTGAATGTGGGGCTAGGGTCGGCCTGGTGGAAGTGCTGTCTGTCTGAGGTTCACTTGGAGTTTTGGAGTATGACTCACCCATGAAGCCAACACTACTTTCTGTCAAGCAATGACAGAACAATATTTGAAATGGGAAAAGGGGTACTTAGTGTTGAAAAGGTGGTTATTCCATGATTGGTGACTACGGAGGATCTATCAGAAGTTGATGTGGGTGTGTCCTGAATGGGTCGGCATGGATGGTTGTGCAGGGTACACACTGCATAACTTTTACCAGGGGGTGCCGCCATTGACACTGTAGCTATCAGAGGGTTTCTGCTGGTTTGCTAAGAGTTCTCTGGAAAATGGCAGTAAAATGTCTTGTTCTGATGAATTCACCATACTGTGTATTATGTGATTTTATGATCATGGGGGCCAGTGTCTCAAGGAAGGGGCTGCTTCCTCTATTTTACACAAAGGTACTGTGTAGACTACGGGCAGCAGCACTGTGAATCTAACTCCACGCAGCTTCTGTGCAGGCTGGAGGGGGACCAGGGTATCCTGCTATGACAGCAAGGACATCTGGATGTTTGAAGAACAACACAGGTGGACCCAGCACTGCTCTGCCAAAAATTCAGCATCTGCTTTGCTCCAAAGGCTAAAGCCAGCCCCTATCTTTCTTGGGGACTTTTGTCCCATATACTCACTTCAGCAGGAAGCAGGGTATAGGTGTAGAATTGCTTCATCTTGGTCACCAGATCGTCTGTGGAGAATGTCACATACTCTACAAACTTCCGGTTCAGCAGGAACCAGTCTGAGCCCCCGTCTACGGCGATGCCCTCGGGGATGCGCCGGTCCCCCAGGCGCCACATGTGAGCGTCACACTCCAGGAAGAGCCGATCCAGGCCCTGCTTCCGGATGAACCTGGGAGAGACAAGGTAGCCCTTAGCCCAAAGGTGCCGGGAGAGAGGGAACCCCAGCTGGAGTCCAAATAAAACAACACCCACTGCAAGAACAGAATTTATTGAGCACTTACTATGTCCCAGTTACCAAGCCAGGGCTCACTTGATCCCCACAGTGAGGCAAGTTCCTATATCCCTACTAAGGCAGGTATTATTATTAGCTTTGTTTTATGCATGAGGCCACTGAAGCTTAGAGAACACAGGGGAACTCCCCATTACAGTTAGATAGCAATGGTCATCGCTAACTTTTGAAATAACCTTGTTATATATCAGAACCTTGGCAGTTTGGTGAATGCAATCTTGGACCCTCATCTCAGAAAAGTGCTCTTAAAGGCACACAATATGTACAGGGTTACAGAATGTCAAAAAAAAAAAAACTTCCACCAAAGTTATGATAGAGTAATATGTGTGCTTCTTGATTCATATATCGTATTCAGGATTATAAAATATTTTCCAAAACACCAAATATATGATAATACATATCAACATATAAAAAAATAAGATATCATGGCAGCTCTCATAACTACTATAATTTTTTGAAGAAGTAATGAACATAAATGATATTTAGAGGTATCTGCCCCAACTATAACATGATATGGAAATATGTGATTCCTTCTGGTGAATATCACAGTTACTGCTAACATGACTGTGGTTCACTAGCTATCTTTATGGATTTCATAAATCCTGGATATCAGCTATCATTATTAAAAATAAAGATGCCTTTTTTTCCATCTGAGGTCACGGACCCACTTGAATTTCACCGACCAACCCCAGGTTAATCATGCCTACTGTAGCACATACATATATTAATATGATCACGTTGTTTAGAATTTTGCAAAACAGGCAGAGGAGAAGTGGCATTTCCTATTTTGCAGATGCAGGAATTGAAGCTATGTAGGTCCCAGAGATGGTGACATGGATGTACTGGGGGACAGAGCTAGAACCATATCTTCTGGTCCAAACTCCTAGTCCATTAATAATTAGTGTTCACTGCAGACTTCTCATATGCCAGGTACCATGCTGGACCCTGCTGGGGGTCAGGGAGAATTAAGGGTGATCTCTGTTCCTAAGATCTAGAGGTCTCCCAACCCAGGGATCTTCCCGCTCTTCCAGCTTGCTGATTTTTACACATGTTCAGGACTGTATTTTTCTAGCCTTTATATAATAAATAATTGTCTTATATAAACGTTTCTCTTTGTTGCAACCACAATGACTTCTCTAATCCCTGTGCCCACCATTACACACAGCTTTTTGTGCAAGGTTTTTGGACATGCTCAAATGTTCTCCCACCCTAGCCTTCCCTAGTTAACTTTAATATATCCAACAGATTGTAGTCTAAAAGTTAATCCTTCAGTTCTTACACCACTGTTGATTTCTTCCATGATCACCACCATCAACACCATCATCTCATTTTCATTATTACACTATCAGCATCTTCATCATCACTATCATCACTGTCATCATCATCATCACCATCATTGCCATTATCATCATCATAACCACCATCATCATCACCACCCCCACCACCATTATCATGACCATGGCCATCATCCTCCTCCTCATGGTCACCCTGAACATTCCCACCACCATCATCATCACCAC